AATTGTAAAGTAACCCCCCAGGAAGGACATCTGAATCCCTCCAGTGGAATGTAAATCACCCTGCGTAAAGTTTTGAATTGTAAAAAGCATTTTTTCAAACCCCTCCAGTGAAAAAGAATTCCCTCCGGTGGTCTCCAGTGGAGTCAAAATCTTACTACGGACTTCCGTGACTCCATCAAATCATAAAAGAATAAAAATCACGCCCCCAAAAAAACATGTAAAAACTATGTTGTTAGATAATATAAAGAGAAGAAGTTTAATTAAATCATGATATAAAGAAAGACATGCAAAGATTGAAAAAAATGACAAAAGGCAATTATCATTATCACAAATTGTTTGTTTATATTCAAGTTTTGTCGGGTCAAGAATGAATGAAATATCTGCAAGATTTATCCTTATAAATTGTTTATTTTTGTTGTATTTTTTCATAGAAAGGAAGTTGCGGATTTCTGTCTACAGAAACAGTAGAGAATTTTTAAGTTCCGATTGAACATTATTGCTGAAATGATGCGTTTGTTGTAGACTGAATATCAATCAGGATAATTTTTTTCTCAAAAAATCATTATTTTTAAATTTTTATAAAGCAATTATATATATAATTTAAACAGAATCCCACCGTAATAGCAGTTGAGATCTAGTCAAGACTCTACAACACAGTCTAGAATAAGAAGTTTGACTTACCTTATTTTTGAAATTGATTCATCTGCTGAAATCGTACTTTTTAGATGAATAATTTTGCCTCCTACCGCCTTAGTTTAATAATTATAAAAAACAATATTTGTTAGGGTTTCACATTCTTAAATGAGTGTCTGCTCTAAAAAAAGTGAGTTCACAAACTTTTCTTCCGGTCAGTTTACTGCAGAGGCTACTGCAGTACAGGTCAGTGTACTGGAGATCACATGCAGTACACTGACCCTCCTGACCCACACTGACCGTAATCTTAGTTTAGAGTTTTATATCATCAAAAAAAAATCTAACTTATTTAAGATGTTATAATATTAATTACACAAATGTATATTGAAATTTATACCATGTTTGTGAATATATTTTTGATTATAATTTTTCATTTCAGGATCATCGTGCCGCGTTCAAATCTAAAACAACATGGGAGGTGCTACGCGCCATGTTGGTTTATCAGCTGTGCGGCATCAACATGCTAGTCGACAACAACGAAAAGGTGAAAATGGTGGTCCTCAAGATAAAAAAACTTACTATGGACTTCCAATATTATTTCAAATGCCGTTTTTGTATAGAAATGGTATACAGCTATGATTTCCTATTTTGAATAAACTACAGGGTTACCCACAAAGGATAAGACTGCAAAGACGACCTAAAACTCTTGAAATATGACGAACCCAACTCCCAAGGTTAAATTAAGACTTCTGCCTTGAATAAAGTCTTTTAACAGTTTTTATATGATTTAGCAAAGACAGTAACAAGTTTAAAGTTGCAAAAAAACACGAATACAGGGAACCAGACAGCATAATTTCCGCGTCTCTAATCTTAGGTCGAAAGTCAAATTTCATCCATTCAAGATAAATAACGGCAATTTCTTTAAAATGATTTGTTCTATAAATGTTTAATCGTTATCTGATTGAAATGGTTCACAATAATTTCAAAGATTTTCTATTTGGCATTGTGAAATATATATATACTAGCCGCTTCGCGCCCATCTTCTAGATTAATTGTGAACATGTTCTCTTTCTGTACATCGTAAAACAAAACAAAAATAATTCGCGGATTTTCACAAAAAATTTCTCGGATTTTCAAAATTTTCAAAAATTTAATGAAGATCGAATTTTGATGGAGACAAATATTTGAAATTTCAATCATTCATAAACCTTCCCTGGGGTCCCTAGATGTCCCACAAAAAATGTGGGCCCGATCGGTTCAGCCGTTTTGACGTTTATTGGATACAAACAAACAGACAGACAAACAAACAAACAAACAGACAGACAAGCCAAATTTAAATATAGATTTAATATAAAAATTTGTTTAAAAAATGTTTATGTTTATACCGGTTATTAAATCCGTTTTCCACTATTTTTTAATTAATTATATTTCAAACAATATTTTGTTAAATATTCTAAGAAGGAAGCTGTCAATTTTTCATTGGATCGCATATTTTACATCTTAAATTTAAATGTGTCTTCAAACTTGTATTTGTGGCCCCAGTTTGTCGAAATTTGTCGAAACACCTAGTCTCATAAGTGTCTACTTTTACTTTGTCCTGTGTAACATTTTCATACCTGGTTTGATTGGGAGAACGGAAGACCCCTGTCATGTTGTCCTCGAAAAATATGAAAGATTTTAATGAAGCTTATACATCTCCCACCAAAAACCTATTGATTGCATTATTTCGACTTATGAAAAAAATGTTAACTTTTGAGATGTTATAAATAATGTTTTAAAATTTTTTTTAACAGAATTGCAGCATTCCTAATACTTTTTTTCCAATTGAAAAAATACTTTGGTATTTTTGAGAAATTATTTCAATTAATTGATTTTCCTCTCCCGCCTAGCTACACTTCATGCTAATGTATATTTTAATCTGGACTAAACTCAATATCTGGTAAATTTTTAAATAAGCTAAAATATTTTAAATATTGTTTATTGTAATATAATATTTATCTTATCATATTAAATAATATACATTGAAATTTCCTCGTACTTTCCATACGTTTTATATCAATAGAGTTTTTAAAGTAGCATTGTCAACCTATTCATCTATCTTTTTACCAATATAGTTTTTAAAGTGGCATCGTCAACCTATGTATCTACTTTTCTACCTAAGTTTTTAAAGTGGTATTGTCAACCTTTTTATTTACCTTTTTTTCAATAGAGTTTTTAAAGTGGCATTGTCAACCTACTTTTCTACCTTTTTATCAATCTAACCTTCAAACTAATTATATCTCTATCTATCGTTCTGTATCTACGTACCTATCTGTCTTTCCATCCATCCATTTATTTTTCATTTTCACCTACAATTCATCCTTCTATTTATCTATCTATCTATCTATCTATCTATCTATCTATATATCAATTTTTCTATCTATCTATCTTTATATCTATCTATCTATCTATCAATCTTTCTATCTATCTAGCTATCTATCTAACTGATGAAGTTGGGACAAGCGTTTCTAGGGAAAAGACTGTTTGTAGCAATTATGAAGAATACCTTCTATCTATCTATCTATCTATCTATCTATGTATCTATCTATCTATCTATCTATCTATCTAGCTGATGAAGTTGGGACAAGCTGTTCTATGGAAAAGATTTTTTGGAGCAATCATGAAGAAAACCTTCTATTTATCTTTCTATTTATTTATCTATCTATCTATATATCTGTCTATCTATATTGCTATCTATCTATCTATCTATCTATCTATCTATCTATCTATCTATCTATCTATGTTGCTGATGAAGTTGGGACAAGCTGTTTTGGGAAAAAAAATTTTTGGAGCAATCATGAAGAATACCTTCTATCTATCTATCTATTTATTTATCTATCTATTTATTTATCTATCTATCTATCTATATATCTGTCTATCTATCTATCTATCTATCTATCTATCTATCTATCTATCTATCTATCTATCTATTTATCTATCTATCTATATATCTGTCTATCTATATTGCTATCTATCTATCTATCTATCTATCTATCTATCTATCTATATATCTATCTATCTATCTATCTTTTTATCTATCTATCTATCTATCTATCTATCTATCTATCTATATATCTATCTATCTATCTATCTATCTATCTATGTTGCTGATGAAGTTGGGAAAAGCTGTTTTGGGAAAAAACTTTTTGGAGAAATCATGAAAAATACCTTCTATCTATCTATCTATTTATTTATCTATCTATTTATTTATCTATCTATCTATATATCTGTCTATCTATATATCTCTCTATCTATCTATCTATCTATCTATCTATCTATCTATCTTTCTATCTATCTATCTATCTATCTATCTATCTATCTATCTAGCTAATGAAGTTGGGACAAGCTGTTCTGGGAAAAAGACTGTTTGGAGCAATCATGAAGAAAACCTTCTACGGACAGTTTGTAGCGGGAGAGGATACAGTTCGAATACAGCCCACCATAGACAGGTAATATAATCAATCAGATCAATTAAATCAAATCAATCAAATCAATCAAATCAATCAAATCAATCAAATCAATCAAATCAACCAAATCAGTCAAATCAATCAAATCAATCAAATCAATCAAATCAATCAAATCAATCAAATCAATCAAATCAATCAAATCAATCAAATCAATCAAATCAATCAAATCAATCAAATCAATCAAATCAATCAAATCAATCAAATCAATCAAATCAATCAAATCAATCAAATTAATTAAATCAATGTTTAGAATGAATACGTTAAGAATGAAAATGTTTAGAATGAATATGTTTACAATGAATATGTTTAGAATTTATATGTTTAGAATTAATTTGTTTAGAATTAATTTGTTTAGAATTATAATGTTTAGAACGAATATGTTTAGAATTAAAATGTTTAGAATAAATCTGTTTAGATTGAGCATGTTTAGAATGAATATGTTTAGAAGGAATATGTTTGAGTAAAAATGTTTAGAACGAATATGTTTAGAATTAAAATGTTTAGAATAAATATGTTTAGATTGAGCATGTTTAGAATGAATATGTTTAGAAGGAATATGTTTGAGTGAAAATTTTAGAATGAATATGCTTAGAATGAATATGTTTAGAATGAATATGTTTTGAATGAATATGCTTAGAATGAATATGTTTAGAATGAATATGTTTAGAATGAATATGTTTAGAATGAATATGTTTAGAATGAATATGTTTGGTGTGAAGAGTATACTAGATTACAGCGTAGAGGAGGATCTATCTCAGGAGGAAGCAGAAGAAGCGGAAATGGAGTAAGTTAACCCAAACCATACCAAACCAATTAAACCAAACCAAACCAAACTTTACCTTGCCCAATGAACCTATGCCATAGAAAACATATCAAAATAAAATTAAATTGAATAAAAAACAACAAGACCAAACTAAACCAAACTAAACCAAAAAAAGATTATGATAAATTTCCTGATCTCTAAATGGCTCATCAAGTTTTAGCGTAAAAATAAGCGAAAAAAAGAAGAAAAATAATCTGACAATTCTGCTTTATTTCAAAAATTCAGTAAATTTTAAAGAAATGTTCTTGGCCTGGATCCGGGTCCGTTTTTTCCATTGAGGATCCAAAATTCGACCCAGATCCGCTCAAAATTAAATGGATCCTAAGCACTGATGATATAAGTCAAACAAAACTAAACCAAATCCTAACAAAACCATACTGAATTAACTCATATAAAACAATTATCAAAACAAACAAAAAATGAATGAAATATAACCAAACCAGAGCCAGCGATAAAAAAATCGGAAAAATATGGCTCGGGTCTAAGCTGTCGTTGATGGACCTTATTTACGGCTAGAGCTTTCGGATTCAAGCTGCATCTTATTTTCCACAGAGTTGAGTTAAAAAAAAAACCGGTTTAATATTCTATTTGGCGGATTTTCATGGTAGGAATTGCCGTATTCCGGGTTTTTATGAGAACAAGACTCAACATTGAGCAATATTCTCCACTAAAACCAACCAAGGTCGGTTTTATTTTTATTGGGCCTAACTCCTTACGTCGAACCAAATATCATGCAGCTCTCAATCACGTGACACAAGCTGTCGAAAGAGTTTGGTTGAAGATTCAGTCTTAACGTGGGGTTGAAGGAATTACGGCTCGAGCCGAAGTTTTTAAATTGCGGGCTCAGACCAAACAAAACAAAATTAAACTGAACAAAGCCGAAGTTAATCGAATTGAACCAACATATATCAAACCAAATCAGTTTATAAAAAAAGAGTTTATACAAAACCAAGCCAGTTTATACAAAACCAACTGATACCAAACCAAACCAACTCAAACCAAACCGAATCAACCTAAAATTAAAACCAAATTAAACTTTAAACCATCTTTAAACTTATAATCGAACTAACCCAAAATCCAACAAACAAAAACAATAAACAAAAAAGACCAACAAAACATTACTTAACCGAACAAAGTGAATGTAAAAAATATTTATACTTGAATAATTTTCAGGTCTTGTGTTTCTCATGCAGACGGTAATGATGCCCCAGTAGTCAATTTCGCCGGAATTAAAGGGGAAAAGGACAAAAATTTTGAAAGTAAGCGCATTTTCTTGAGAATATTTTTCATTAATCAAGTAAACGTACACAATTTAAATAATTGGTACAATTAAACAGAAGTAAAAAAAAGAAAAAAAAATTTAAGATTATTTATCAAAAATGAATACAAATACTAGAAACAAAATCATACTGTAATTATTATTGTTATTATTGTTGTTATTAGATGAGATTAGCAGATACCAGGCCCATAAAGAATTTGGAGACAGAAGAGTTGGGGTTACAGGAGCCAGGACTTTCTTCTACCAGGTAAAATAAAAAGACAGACCCCACTTTAGAGATTCCAGAACAAGGTTTATTTTGAATCATTGTGTTAAGAATTATATACTAATAACATTAGACTGAAAAATCAATGCCGCAAATAATTTTAAAGATTAAAGACGACCTTAAAGTCTTCTGATAACTTTTGTGAATTTCCGCTTTTTTGTGAATATATAAACAACAATATTACGTTTAAGATAAAAATGAATTATTTAGAGGAATAATGTTGGATTATTTTAAAAAGAAATTGTATATATTTTATAAAATGTCCTCGCTTTGATATATTTAGTATGCACTGTCTTTACTCTCAAATATTGAAATTATTGCATTAGAAGTTTTTCAAACTTAATGTGATACAGTCATAATCAGAAAGACCCGAAATTAATTAACAGTTAATTAAACGACTTTACAGATATACATATCTCTGGAAATTTAAAATGCTCAAAAAAGGCAGACCACAATTTGGAAATAGCAGAACTATTTTGTAATTATCGTTTCATCAATCATATTGTAAAATTAGATTGTAAGTAGTCTGATTAATTCTATATTAATTTCGATGATTAGGACTGTATCTAGTAAATCTAAGATCAAACTAATTTTCTTGGTATTGAAAAGATTAAAAGTTTTATTTGTGTTTTCTAAAAATTATTTTCAACCTTTTCTCAATATTGATATTTTTCTTAGAAAAGAAACAATAAGTTCTCCCTGTGTGCGTAGCTTCTGACGTAGGTTTTTTTTTAATAAAACAGGGTCCTCACTTTTTAATTAATAATGAAAATTTCCTGCATTAAATAAAGTCTTTTTATGGACTATTTATGATTTGTAAATTTGTTAAGAGACAAAATAAATTCAGTACAGTCGTCTTTGAAGTATCATTCATTGTGGGTAACCCTGTAAATATTTATCTCTCATTTGCGTCGAGTTGACACAGTTTTTGCCAAGAGTAAATTTAGAAAAATAAGGCCATGTTCCAACAGTTAATATGCTTTCTGAGAATAGTATATTTTGCCGGCCTAAGTTTACAGTTATGAATGTTTTGCATCAAGTATTGAAACCGGACTAACTTTGAACCGAGGCTCTTTACCTTAGTTTAACTTAAACACCAACAAACATTTTTTATAGTCATGGATAAAAAAATTTCAAAGTTTCAAGGATTTGGTTTTTTATGCAAAATAAAGAAAATTTATGTAGGGTGAAGCAAATTAATCTATTTTTATGTAGAATGAAGCAAAATAATCTATTTTCATGTAGAGTGAGGCAAATTAATCTATTTTTATGTAGGGTGACGCAAATTCATCTATTTTTATGTAGAGTGAAGCAAATGAATCTATTTTTATGGAGGGTGAAGCAAATTAATATTTTTATGTAGAGTGAAGCAAATTAATCTATTTTTATGTAGGGTGAAGCAAATTAATCTATTTTTATGTAGGATGAAGCAAATTAATTTATTTATGTAGGGTGAAGCAAATTAATCTATTTATGTAGGCAGGGTGAAGCAAATTAATTTATTGATGTAGGGTGAAGCAAATTAATTTATTTACGTAGGGTGAAGCAAATTAATCTATTTATGTAGGTAGGGTGAAGCAAATTAATTTATTTATGTAGGGTGAAGCAAATTAATCTATTTTTATGTATTGTGAAGCAAATTAGTCTATTTTTTGTAAGGTTGAAGCAAATTAGTCTATTTTTATGTAGGGTGAAGCAAATTAGTCTATTTTTATGTAGAGTTAAGCAATTAATCTATTTTTATGTAGGGTGAAGCAAATTGTGAACGAAATCTAGAAACTTTCCTGCGTTGTATTGAGACCGTTGCAACTACTACACATACTACAGGTTTACAACATTTCATATTTTTAACTTAATATTTATGTCTTATATGGATCGTTTTTCAGAAGAAGAAATCTTATTATTTATTTTCTTAAATAAAAGGGACAGTGCGCCGGCGCGTAATTTTAAGTCAGTCCCCTTAAAACTGATCAATAATATGGAAGATATTGTTGCTTGTCTTGGTTTACAAGTGTTTAATTCTGATAATTGCATCATGTTTTCCTGCACAAGCCACATTTGTAGAGAACCCACAATTTTCCCAATCATAAACATTGATATCTAATTCATACTTAATCAGACATAGTTTTATTGGTACCGTTGGAAATCGGCCCCTTACAGTCCCTTTTAGCCCCTTACAGTCCCTTACATAATAAACATTTCAAAGAAAGAAAATTGCGGTCATTTTAGGGGACATTTAATGTACAAGACATTTCTTCAAGAGGATATTTAATATAAAGGACATTTCTTCAAGAGGATATTTAATATACAAGACATTCTATAAGAGGACACTTAATATATAAGATATTTATTCAAGAGGACATTTAATATACAAGACATTTCTTCAAGAGGAACTTTAATATACAAGACATTTCTTCAAGAGGACATTTAATATACAAGGCATTCTATAAGAGGACATTTAATATACAAGACATTCTTCAAGATGACATTTAATATACAAAACATTTCTTTAAGAGGAAATTTAGTATACAAGACATTTCTTCAAGAGTACATTTAATTTAAAGACATTTCTTAAAGAGGACATTTTATATACAAGACATTTCTTTAAGAGTACATTTAATATACAAGATCAGATATTTTGTAGGTTGGTGGAGCACAGTTGAATACGTTTTTAATATTTTAAATCTAAAAAGTTTTAGGAATTATTTAAATCATGAGATTAGTAGTTTATCTGAATATCATTCTAAGAAAAAAAGGAAGAAAAAAATCGTTGATAATATTTCAATATTTCAAGAGAAAGTCACGAAACACGATATTTTATGATATTCAATCAATTTTGCAAAATTAAGAGAATTTTTCAGCATTCGTTTTGCTGATTTGATAATTTAGTTTTACAGGGCACAGCCACAATTTTAGTTAATTGATCTCATTCAAATACTGGGGTTTGCCAATGTAGTTAGTATACGTTAAATAAGAAGGACCTATTTAATAACCATTTGCTTTTAATTAGTAAATGAATGTTCAAACGAGTTGAACCTAAAGCTTCGTTCGGTGACTGTATTTCATAATTTCATAATTTTATAATTTCATAATTTCATAATTACGAGCCTTTTAACGAATGAACTACAGACACAATAATAGTGAAAACAAAGATAAGACATTACATTTAACAGTATTTATCGTTTCAGGATTTGCCGCCATAAAGTTGACAGCTTTGGGTCGACCCCAGCTTCTCCTCCAGCTGTCAGAGGTCATTGCTAGAGCACGAAAATATAATCAGGTTAGTTCATTTCATTTAAAGAATCATTTTGGAAAATTTCTTTGCATAAATGAAAAAATCAAAAACAACTTTTTTTTTGCATTTATCGTTTTGAAAACGTTTTTGGTTTTTTGTCCACTGAAGCCCTTACTTACTTGCATTTGTTCTGTCTATAGCATTGACTGTGTTCTAGTACAATGTACTATGACTGTGTACTATGTACTATGTATGTGTTTCCAGGAGGTTACAGGGCAGTGCGGCAGCGTGATAGAAGGCCACGTGGATCCACAGATGTTTGAAAACCGGTTTAGAGCAGCAGGAATTAAGGTCTCTAGACAGGGTTGGATCAATTCACATTTGTATAAAATATAATATTTAATTTCGATCCAGAACTTTGGAAACATCGAAATAATTAATAAATTAACAATTTTTCAATGGGTTTTATACCTAAATCTCAGTTATTGTAAAAAAAATAAACAGCCATGAAACATGCTGGAAAGGTTTTAAAGAGCTCCATATGATTATTCAATAAAAAAATCAAATTTATTCAGCATTACATAATTATTAGGGTTTCAAGACGACATTTTATAAATTCTTTCAATTTCTCCTAAGTTCTGAGTTAAACTGTACTGTAATCATAGCATTCAGTCTACTACAAGATACAAATATGAATTATAAATCATAATTTTTTAAAACTTTATCTAAAATTTTAATATTTTTATATTGGTCAATTTCAAATTTTTAAAAAAAAAATTCGATTTTTATGAACAATTCTTCAATGCTAATCCTACTAATACTACAAATAGAATGTCTCATGACCTCTTCAATCTATCAAGAAATCTTTTTGCTAAGAACATTTATTTTTAAAGAAAATCACAAAAGTAAATTTGTTTTAGTACGAAAAGAAACTATTAAACTATAATAAAATATTAATCCGCAGAAATAGATTCAAAACAGATTAAAACTTTTCACTTTTATAAAAGAAAATGAATATCAAAATAAAAAAATAAAATAGTATTACTTTATTTTATTTTATATACTATTGATATATTAGGTTGAGCGACCTGAAGTACAGGACTGGTTGGACAAAATGACCTATGATAAAAAAGGTTGATAATACAAAAAAATATTTTTACAAAAAATTAAAATTTATTGAGATGTAGGGTTATCCAATCCATAAAAAAAGATTCTAAACAACTGGACGGAATAAAAACTGGGTTTTTTTTTCTGAGAATAATGGGTTCAAACATCTTTTAACTTTTTTTTCTTAACATTTTATTGCCAATAGAACAATGTTTAATCGTCCACGTGGTTCATGAAGTGTTATTAGACTGGGTAACACTGTATCAAAATTATAGAGTATAATAAAGATTTTTAAATCTGCGTCAAGTCAAATTGAATCTAGCTTTATTTAAATTTTTTGGGATGAGTCTTTTATGAAAAAAAAATTAAAAGGACTGTTAACGTGTTTTAAAGCGACCCTCATTAACAGAGTGGCATGGCCGATTTACGACGATACTCTTAAATGCTTTCTCCAATCAAATATAATGTTTTTACTGATAATTTTATCTGTGGTTTATCTTTACAAAAGTGTTATACGCATTTCTTGCTTCAGAAATAATGGAGATAAAACACTTTTTAAACTATTCCATATTATTGATCAGCTGAAGTTTTCAATTATGAGTTCTGTTGTGGATTTTTAAATTGAGGAGCAGTTGAAATAACGTTGATATGTCCCTTTAATATACTGAATATTACTTTCTTATTCTCATCTAGAAGATGTAAAGAATAAATCTTTTGTGATAGAACAACCATTTGATAATAAAAATTGAATCTTATAAAAAATATTATTTTAGGTTTGATTCATCTGTTCTCCTGGTCTGGACTCATAGATACTAACATACTCCTTCAGGACCTTTTCCAGGTTAAATATGGAGGATGTTAAATAGGGTTGATATTTCATAATAATGTTTTTTTTTTTTTAAAATTATATTTCACTTAAAAACTGTTTTTACGACTGGAGCTGGATTTTCGAACATTCCTGGAAAATATGAAAATGTCTTCATTATCAAAAATTCTCGAAATTTCAGGAATTACTTTTTATTAAAGTAACACTCGGATCCTATAAAATAAAAATATTATGAAATATCAACTGTATATATACGAATGCATCGAATTGAATTTGACAATTTTAGGTTGTTATATCTGAATGAATACTTTAAAATCTAATTAATTATTTACGATCTAAGTGGAATAATAAAACTCCCCGACTTTGTATGGACGCTACGCTCATGGGCACAAGACGTTTTTAACCATTTTCTCCTTATAGACACACAAACATAAGTAAAATTAGTAGCGATCAATATAGAATTCAGCTCGATATCAGCCAATATACCCTTTCATTTTTTTTGCAAACACTCCCTGTAAAGGGAGTGTGATCATATTATAGATTAAATGGATTATAACCGTATTGTATGTATAGGTTCCGAACCTGAAGACAGGTCGGATGGAGCCCTTGATCACCGCCTTAACTGACGAGGAGGAGGAACAGTTCCAGAACATGCTAAGGAGGATACACAGAGTATTCCAGGCAGCTAAGGTACAGTGCTTGAATGGTGCATTTCTTTTTATTCTATCTCACATTAAACTAAGCTATTGGGTAGATCAAATAGGGTTAAATTAGGCCGTGTACTGTAAAAGTCTGGCCGCGCCATTAAAGTTGAAAACGAGACTGCAAAGGATAGAGTCGAGACTCGAGCGTCACAAAGGCGGGAACAAGGGGTCGGTCCTGTTCAAATTCAAATTGACCCTAGTCCACGGGGATCCTATTCATACTAAGCAATAGAGACAGAGGAGTCAAAGGTTCTGAAGAAAAAGATCTAGTTAATGAAGTAAATATTTATATATATATAAAATAGATATGTTCCATATTCACGAAACTTCTCACTACTATTTTTTGAGGTTTTCTAAATCTGTGTCTTTATTATAGTTGTAATTTTAAGTGATAAGATCTATATTCATTTCAGGACATGGATGTTAGAGTGATGGTTGATGCTGAACAGACATACTTTCAGCCAGCAATATCCAGGTACAGGGTTAATATACTTTCAGCCTGCAATATCCAGGTACAGGGTTAATATACTTTCAGCCTGCAATATCCAGGTACAGGGTTAATGTACTTTCAGCCTGCAATATCCAGGTACTGAGTTAATATACTTTCAGCCTGCAATATCCAGGTACAGGATTAATTTCGAAGAATGCTTATACTTTAAAGGGTCTGTAATCGTAGTTTAAACTAGTGACCCTCTCTGTAAAGGTGGCAATGCCCGATTTACAACGGTACCCTTGTAACCTTAAACATCTTTCCATATTGATAAGAATGAATGGCAAGGTATGCACAAAAATAATATTTTACTATTTTGAACTCTCCTAATTGTTTTATTGTTTTAAATTAAACTATTTTTTAAAAAGTCCTCTTTAGCTCAAGGTAGATCCAAACAGCAATTAAAAGTTTTTTTTTCAAAAAAGGGGGTTTTAATGGGGGGGGGGGCACACAAATTTTTTTTGCGCGCTAAATGCTCTCATACGCCCCTGAGCAACGCCTTGGCCTTTGAGTTCTCCTCGATTTGTGTTTGAGAGTTTACAATATTTGGATCACTGTGTGATTTTAATCCATTTCAGTAAATTAAAGGTTTATGCATTTGTATTAGAGCCTGAAACCCCTGAGAGCCTTTTTTTACATTAAATACGCAATTTAATTATAAAAGTAAAAAAGCGACACATTTAAAATGTATATGTATCACTTTCCGCTTAACCCTACTATTTCTTCGGTCAGTGTGCTGCAGATTACTGCAGAACAATGTTTTTATCAGAAAATCTGAAAAAAAAAGTTCAAAGAAAATAATTTAGAATCCTTTTTTGGAACACTTTTACCTATCCCACCGGCCCCCACCCATATTTGTGACCAATCCCTTTTATATATTTTACTGTTAAGGCTGACCATGGAAATGATGAAGAAGTACAATACGGAGAAGGCCATTGTGTTCAACACCTACCAGGTTAGGGAGCTCTTAGATTTCATAGATAGGACAGGAGATCATGCATTTTTACTAGAGAGGACGGGAGATTTTGTAGTTATATTGGTTCATCTCGAAGGTATCATGATAGGATGAGAGATTGCTTAGTTTCATTAGTTCAACTCATAGATATCATAGATAGCATGAGAGATTTCGTAATTTCATTAATTCAGCTCATAGATATCATAGATAGTATGAGAGATTGCGTAGTTTCATTAGTTCAGCTCATAGATATCATAGATAGTATGAGAGATTGCTTAGCTTCATTTGTTCAGCTCATAGATATCATAGATAGCATGAGAGATTTCGTAATTTCATTAATTCAGCTCATAGATATCATAGATAGTATGAGAGATTTCGTAGTTTCATTAATTCAGCTCATAGATTTCATAGATAGGACTGGAGATGTCGTACTTTTAAAAATCTAGCTCGCAGATTTGACATCTATGGACAATAGAGAATATAAAAAGTTTACTTTTTCAACAGTTTGATTGATCGATTGTTTTAGTGTTATCTGAAGGAAGCTTTCCACTCTCTGACCTTGGACCTGGAGCAGGCCAGCAGACAGAAGTTCTTCTTCGGAGCCAAGCTCGTCAGGGGGGCGTACATGGAACAGGTAGAGTGTACAATATTGTGAGGAGGAGTACACTGTACATGGAACAGTAAGAGTGTACAATATTCTCAGAGCCCAAAACTTAAGACAGGGTATATCATTATAAAAACCAGTTTTGAAACCCGGGTTTCATTAATGGGGTTAGGCAGTTTTAAGAATATTAATATTTTTGTTATGAAATATTATTTTATTTAGTTTCTTCATATTTTCCAGTTTTTTGAACCTCTTAAATCAAAATCTACACAAATGTTAAGACCCCAAAAAGGAAACTCGGTAGTTTCGTTCAACAACAATGTACATGGAACAGGGAGAGTGTATAATATTGTTAGGGGGTGTACAGTGTACGCATGTACTTGGAATATGTAGAGTAATGCACATATTTAAAATTTGGAAAATTTATTTTTAATTTGATTATATAATTCAGGAGAGAGCCCGAGCAATTGCCCTGAATTATCCAGATCCAATAAACGAAGATTTTAACGCTACAAGTGAGATGTACCACAGGTTAGTTGGATTGGACAGGACATCTTTCCTTTAAAGGAACTGGTAAGCGCAGTTTCAAGTGACCCTCTATGCAAACATGCCAATACCCTTTTCACAACGCGCGATGCCGTCAAAAGCTTTCTCTGATCAAAGAGGAATTGGATAGAAATATTTATAATTTTATATATTTAATTTATATATTTTTTTTAAGTTTGCATCATAAAAGTAAAGTAACGAAAATGGCAGTCCACATTCTTAAAATCCCAAAGACCCAATGGTGAATGTTCAAACTTCTCTTTACGAAAGAACTGCATGTTGATCACAGACTTATAGTTATCTAAAAGTTGTCAGTTTTCTTTGTGTAAATTTTTTTTATTGTAACTTTTAGTATACAATACTTTCAGATGCCTTGATACATGCATGAAACGGATTCATAATTTAAAAACTGAAGGAAAGGAAAAGGTAACATTTAAAAAGTATATTGAAAAAGTTATAAATCTAATATTTAAAGAAACAAAGCAACAACTTTTTCATATTTTTCATATTCATTTTTTCTATTTTTTTTTAGGGAAAGGTACGTTGTATAATCACAAGTAATTTCTGTTTAATGTTTGCATCCTTTTTATTTATTTTTTGCTACCTTTTTTATTAATTTTGCTACAGTGATTACTAGAAAACTCTGGAATAGTAAGAGGACTTTGAGAATTAAGTTTTATCCAAAAAAATTTAATGACTGCTTGAAACACAGCCATTGTGCATTGTGAACAGACCCATTTCACACAAAAAGTTATTTTATAAGTGTCTAGTAAAACTATTTGCCATGTAACACCATCAAATACACTATAGTATTGCTATAATGTCGTCTTCCTATTCCATTGTTTTCTGGTTATCACTATACCCTTTTTATTTTTTTTGTTTTCCAAAGACTAAACAAGAGGATACAATTTTCTTTATCTCTTTTTTGAGATTTTTTCCACTTTTTGTGAAGAGACTGTCGACATAATGAACCAAAGAGAATAGAATATATATATTAGACTGGAATTTAGACAATCCCTTCGTATGAAATTTTTCAGTCCCTTTCAGCCCGAAAGGGAGGTCAAAGTGTACAAATCATGTAAATGTTCACAAATTATATGCAGTAGAGTACATTAATACAGTATGTTTCCTAGACTATCCATTTCAATTTTGAATTTTTAAAGCTGTTAAATAAACTTTATAAAAAGAATTAGGTGAATAAAAACATCATTTGATTTATAGTTATAACGGAAAATCATCGTTTGTAAAGTGAAAGGCATAGAGTCTATGTGAAATGATCATTGGTCAATTATGAAAACAGCCTATTTCATAATTTGGTTTTCTTTTAATATTAATTTAAGATTTTTTATAAAATTATGTTCCAGGGCCCAAAAGGTTATTATATAGCATAAATATATGAAGTACACCAGCAGTATGGAAACAGTACAACAAAATGGCCGTTTTACACTTTTTTCTAGTGAGTTCCACTCTAATATATATTCTATTCTCTCTGTAATGAACCTTTTTCTTTATAAAATTTACTTCTCGGATTTACAAAAAATACCTTTTAAACCTTTTTATAAAATGAAGGAAATTAAAATAATTTATCGTTAAAAAAATAGGAAGAACCTTAAACAATAATATTGTACATGAAACCTAAATATCAAGAAGTTTTACTCTAACACAGAAAATTTCCAACCAACTCCGAATACAGGGATTTTTTAGTTTAAAGTTTTTTCTCTTTGTAGATAATTTATTTCAAATCTAAAATAAAGTTGATCAATCATAATTTTCTTTTTCTTTTTAGAAATAATTTCCGAAATTATCACTTTTATATATACAAGATACAATCCCGATAGTTTACAGTATTTTTTTCTTAAGTTCTATTAATTAGTGAGTGTTGTACAATAGATTAATAATGTTGATACGCTGATGTGAACAAAATAATAGGAAATTTAAAAATACTGCATCATATTTGTAAAGTAACAATTAGCAAATGTTTCTATTTATTTATGTTATCATAGATATCATGGGGAGTTTAAATGAACCAAGGCTTCCCCCCCATATTTCTTTCCCTCCGATGCTCGTCTTTGAGATAAATAATTTGCAAGAAAAAGCAGATTTGGGTTTGTTGATTGGTATATTTGATGATAGCAAATTTTTTTGGTGCCATTGCATGAAAGGATGAAAAACTTTGAAATGTGAATAACATAAAAAAATCTTATGGAGCATATATTTAAAAAACCAGAAAAAATGCCCTTAAATTAAAAAAGAAACAGTCCTGTTATACCTAAATGTTAAAAATGAGAAAAAAAATGTTTAATTTAGAAGAAATCCACTAAAGTCACTCTTATAAAGAAACTAGGATCAAAGTCCTAATCATGTACCACTCTCCACTATACCCCACTATACTCAACTATACACCACTCTCCACTATACCCACTATTTCTTCGGTCAGAGTACTTCAAATCATTGTACTACACACCGAAAGCTTAGTTGGAATGATGTTTAAATTAATCTGATATTGTTGTATAGAGGGTGGGTATCATGGTAGCCAGCCACAACGAGGATACCGTCAGGTTCGCTATCCAGAGGATGAGAGAGCTCGACATCCAACCCGAGGACAAGGTTAGTTTTAGAAATTCTGGAAGCTTTATGCCCTCTGTTTTTTAAAGAAGAGTAGGGAAGGACAGTATTAATTATACTCAATCTTTCAATAATAAAATTATTCAACTTTCAACAAAATGTTTTGTAAACTGACAAAGAAATATATAACAGGATATTTACAGTGATAACCAGAAAACTCTGGAATAGGACGACGAAGACGACTTTTAGACAAAAGTTATGACTTTAAATATATGAACACGAAATACAGCAATTGTGCAGTGTAATTTTTTTCATTAGCGCTTGAATAAGTTATAAATAAAACTATTCGCTTCCTAACAACATCAAATACCCATAATTATTGCTTTAATGTCGTCATCCTATTCCACAGTTTTCTGATTCTCACTGTATGATTTCGGTATTTTTGCAAATTGTATAAGAAAATGAATTTTTCATAGTTCTCAATCTAAAAATAGACCGCTGAACCCCTCAGTAGTAACCAGATATCTGAACTTTGGTGTTCAATATCGTTAATCTCGATATCCAAAATGGGCACTTCTAAATTGAGAATAAATGCTTGATCCCTAAATCAAATTTATCTCTTCAGGGTATGACCTTCACAGGCTATAGAAGAGGAATGAAATGAATCCCTATGTCTGCATGGAGATCAATGTCACGTAAATCTCACCAGATTGAAGTGCATTTTGTTGTAAAATTTCCAGCATAGTTTGATATTTCACTTTCAGCTGAAAACTTTAGAATGAGATATCCTTAAAATCACGATCGCTTAATCTGATTATTCAATTTACATACTTTTGATTTTCTTCTATAATCCTCTTTTTGGATATTTCTACTGTTTAAAATTTTCGTTTGATAACAATTACAGATACAATGCTATATCGATTGGACTAATATCCGATTGAATTATAGTCAGCAGTTCACAAGCCGACTTTTAGAGCATTTAAACAAATATAAATTCAATCATGCTAATATGAAATTATTAAAAAACATATTTTAGGACTATTGTTATTTTGAGCGTTAGTCTTAATAAACATTAATCCAAAACTTACGTTCGTTCAATTGATGTTTAGTTCAATTAATATGACACCATTAACACCAAAAATCAAAACCAGTTTTTCAAAAGTTAAATAGTTCATCTTAACTTAACACGCTGATTGGTTGAATTTTTAACGTCTATCGAATGCGTTTCAGAATAATCTCGGGTTTAGTAAAACCAAGAGTTTAAGCATTAATCTTATTATCCACCATTCTAAAGTTTTCAGCTCTGAACCTCTATTTTACCAGATCCAGAGATTAACAACACAAAAATTCTGACTTCTCGGTTCTCTTCTGCTGTTATGCATACCAACTTTAATTGATTAATTAATGGATTTTCCAGGTTATATGTTTCGGTCAGCTGCTGGGCATGTGTGATCAGTTGTCCTTTCCTCTAGGTTAGTTTATACTAAATCAACATTTTATTCTTCAACACATTGAAAAATCGTTAATAATTTTACCAATTACTAAAGCTATGAACAGTTCTAGAAATACACAAAGTATAAGTGCGATAAAATCAAAAGCCAAGGCGTTGCGACACTTTAAAGTCAACCCAGTATTAGAATTGGTTTTATTGAATCACGCAACCTATTTTAGGTTTTAGTTTTGTCCTACAGTGAGAACCAAAAATTATGGAGTGTTAAGACGACATTACAGCAATACTAAAGTTAATTGGATTTTGTTTTGAAGCAAATCATTTTACTAGTAGTTTATAAAATCACTTATTAAGTGAAATAGGTCTGTTTTCACTGCACATTTGACTATTTAGAAGAAATGGCTTCAGTCTTAAAGTCGTATTCATATTCCAGATTTTTCTGGTTCTCACTGTAACTGTTAAGTTATAATATTTACACTTTGGTAAAAATGTTCTGTTATAGAAATATTTTTTTTTATATTAGATTTTTTATTTCCGTTAGAAACAAATGAGCCTGCTGTTTTGTAAAGGGGGGGGGGGAGGGGTCCAGGCGGTATTTTTTGAGATTTTACTATCTATTTATTTGTAGGTCAGGCCGGGTACAGCGTGTACAAGTATGTACCGTACGGACCGGTAAACGAAGTTCTGCCGTATCTTTCAAGGTACATATTTAATGGGAATTTTTTAATTATTTGTACAAGTTTTAATTCTAAAATAATCACAATATAAGATAAATTATTGATTATAAACAGCAAAATAGAAAATATTGAGAAAGAACCATCAAAAATAACAAACGGACCAACAGCTATTTCATTATTTAACTTATTTTAATTTTACAGGACTTGCTTTTTTTGCGCTAAAAATTAGGATTTTTTCCAAATATTTTTTTTGTGATTTTATTGAATGTGAACGTATTAATGAAATAAAGAAGGAGTAGGTTCATGAATAGTTGTAATTATTATGAAAAATGGTCGCAAAGTCCGATTTTATTTTGATTTGAGGGTTGCAAAGTCTGACTTGAGTGCTGGACTTAAAAACAGTGGATTCGGAGCTCAAGAGCTCATTTTAGTTTTTGAGAGACAACATTGGACAACGGTCTATACAGACCAGGGTCAGAGGTATTCCACTATGTACCACCAGATCTAAATGTTTTCAAAAACATTTTATGTAATTTTTTACTTTTTTTCTCAATCACAGGAAGTGTAGAAAGTAGACGTAATTTAAAGTAACCCTCCATTTTCATATAAGTGTGTCATACTCACAACAGTACCCTTACAACCTTTGTCGGATAAAATGTGCATAATTTTCTCTTCCCAAAGGAATTGAGTCTTCGCCACAAACTCTGATTTTCTAATCCCTATATATTTGCAACCCATTGCTGTCGCCGACCTTAGATATTTCAAACTATAAATTCTGTTAGATCAAATAATTTGAGTCTGAAATATCAAAGGTATACACCATCAGGTTGCAAAGATATATGAATTAGATCATTTAAATTTGTGGAGAAAAATCAATTCCTTTATTATGGTTATTAAAGGGAGGGTACTGTTGTAAATTGTGCATTTACATTATTAAAGGGAGGGTACTGTTGTAAATTGTGCATTGCCATGATTAAAGGGAAGGTTTCTGTTGTAAATTGTGCATTTCCATCATTAAAGAGAGGGTACTGTTGCAAATTGTGCATTTACATCATTAAAGGGAGGGTACTGTTGTAAACTGTGCATTCCCATCATCAAAGGGAGGATACTGTTGCAAATTGTGCATTCCCATCATTAAAGGAAGGGTACTGTTGTAAATTGTGCATTTACATCATTAAAGGGAGGGTACTGTTGTAAATTGTGCATTTACATCATTAAAGGGAGGGTACTGTTGTAAATTGTGCATTTACATCATTAAAGGGAGGGTACTGTTGTAAATTGTGCATTTACATCATTAAAGGGAGGGTACTGTTGTAAATTGTGCATTTACATCATTAAAGGGAGGGTCCTTGGAAAATAAAACACAATTCATTTGCAACACATTTATTGAAGGAAATTTTTTGACATTAACGAACACTAAAAACTCCGGTTTATTTGAAATGTCGCGACGACTTTTAGGCAGCTAGCTGGGGCAAGTTGTACAGTATCCGGAAAAAAGGGACGGTATCTATTATAAATTCAATTTTTGTTTGAAAAATGCACTTTGGAATTTTTTTTTTAGGGAAAATACTTTTAGAAAGTGATTAATATTCTTTAGAATGGGCCTTGCAAAGACTGCAAGACTTGCACCTTATTTTATCAGCTTTATCTTTCTAAATATTCATGTGATTTTTGTATTATATTTTTTATCTCTGTTTCAACTGTGTATTTAAATATTTATCCATTATGACATATTTCATATCTATCTACATCATTACTAACTATCTATTTATCTATTCACTCATTATGCCATCTTTCTATCTATCTATCTATCTATCTTTCTATCTTTCTATCTATTTATCTATCTATCTATCTATCTATCTATCTATCTATTTATCTTTCTATCTATTTATCTATCTTTCTATCTAGGAGAGCCCATGAGAACAAGGGAATGCTGGCAAAGCTGGAAAAAGAGAAAAGAATGCTGAGGCGAGAACTTAAGGTTAGGAAGAATTTAAAACTAGAATCAGTTCGCTAAACCGAATCATAAAAATATTTCTGATAGATCAAATAGTGAAGTTAAGTAAGGATATCAAATCAAATGAGAAATACAATTAAAACTAGAATCTCTTCTCTAAACCGAACTTAGATTCATAGATTCTGTTAGATCAAATAATGAAGTTAAGTAAGTATATCAAATCAGATGAGAAATACAATTAAAACTAGAATCTGTTCTCTAAACAGAACTTATTTTTATAAAGTTACTTCTGATAGATCAAATAGTGAACTTAAGTAAGAATATTAAAACTAATTAGAAAATAAAACAGGGTCTCACAAAGAAAGGTTTGCAGAATCTTTATAAAAGTGTCAAGGAAGACGTAAACTCTTCCCTGGAATTTGTTTTACTCTAAAAAGGAAGAACCTTTCGGGGTGATTTATTCTGAATTGTATAACCATAGAGAATAGAATATATATTAGAGGGGAATTATTAGAAAAAAGTGTAAAACGGTCATTTTGTTGTACTGTTTCCATACTGCAGGTGTACTTCACATATTTATGCTATATAACCTTTTGGGCCCTGGAATATCATTTTATAGAAAATCTATAATTATTGTTTAAAGAAAATCAAATTATGAAATAGGCTGGTTTCATAATTGACCAATGATCATTTCACGTAGACTCTATGCCTTCCACTTTACAAACGATGATTTTCCATTATAACTATAAATCAAATGATGTTTTTTATTCACCTAATTCATTATAAAGTTTATTTAACAGTTTAAAAAATTCGATATTGAAATGAATAGTCTAGGGAACATACTCTACATGTACTCTACTGCATATAATTTGTGAACATTTACATGATTTGTACACTTTGAACTCCCTTTCAGGCTGAAAGGGACTGAACAAATTCATACCGATGGATTCTCTAAATTCCCCTTTAATATATATTCTATTCTCTATGTGTATAACCTTCTCTAGACAGTAGAATAATATCTCAATTGTCTTGATATTTTTAGGAGAATATAATTTCACATACGCTACATGGTAATTTTGTAAACAAAATATTTCACAAAAAAAAAATTTTCGATTAAGCATATTTAAAATTTTCCAGGATCGTGTGCTGAAAGGAAGGCTTTTCTACAAACCAAAGGTAAAATACGTTGTGAAATTTATTTCAAATTTTAAGAAAAATTAATTTCATGGTTAGTTTTATATTCTCTATTATATTCTATAATTTCTGTATTTAAATCTACCGCAACTGGAAAACTGGGCAGTTTCGTTAAACGATACACTAAAAAATTCCGGCTCTTCTACGACTTTTGTGATTTTTTGTACTAGTATGAAAAAATCTAATTTATCCGGTATAAAATAGAAATTCAAAACAATTTTGTCCTTTTCAATAGCTCTTTGATAAGAGAAGTCTTGAATGAAAAGCTTATTTATTATTTTATTTAAAATACATTAGTTTAGTACAATCTATTTTGTTTTCGGAAATCCCAGTGTCAAGGTTTTTTTAAATTAAGATTTGTTGCATAATACTTTTGGGGGTTTCTATCCATTTCCGCGGACTTCCTTTTAGTTTCCGAGCTATTTCCTTTAGTTTTGATTTAAGACGCGGACCTTAAACTAAGATTTCGTTGCGTACTGCAGTGATCTGCAGTACGCTAACTAAAGAAAAGTGGGTTTAGCGGAGATTGGGCGTAGAATGTAAAGGGTGTGGGTTGAATTTAACAAAAGTTATTTTTTAGCTTTAACTTTTTCACTCTTCAAGTTCAAATCTGGTTTTAAAAAGCTGTTAATATAGAAAAAGTGTTAAATAAACCATATTTTTTTTTTCAGGGAGATTACATACCGATTTAATTTTGATTAAGCAGAACTGTTCAGCGATTCAGAGATTTGTTGTCAATTCTTCTATCCAATCCAAGGGCTTATAGACAGTAACCTCTACACTATACAGTATATTAACATGATGCAATACTATAGAATGATATATTTCCATGAAAAAAAATCAAAATCTTAATCATTTTTTATAAAAACCAATATTATTCATACTATTTTTAGAATCCTAATGTATTTTTACATCTCTTGCATTTGTACCATTATTTTTTAGCATTTCTAAGAAAGCTAAGAAATAAGGTTTTAAAGCTGAAGTATGTCTGCCACAAGCGTCGTAACTTAGTGCCGTTGTCGCGCAAGGAAAGCCTACCCCCCCCCCATGTGATTTAATCATTTCAACACAATTTTAGAAACCCAAACCAATTTTGAAACTTAAAAAACTTTTATAAGTTTAAGGTAAAGTTATAAAAATAAATGCGCATTTAGTTCTTCAATGTATTATTGAAGGGGGAAAACGCAACACAAGATTTTTCCTTGTAAATTATCTAATAATCATTATTTCTTTGGGACAAAGATAATTTTTAAAGTGCTTGCCCAGTTAAAGTACTTTAATTGATATCGGCAAGTGTCAAAACATTGGTTTTGATGACTAAAATTGTGCAGAAATGGTGTAAACACTATATAAGCCGAACAAGCAGGGTAGCCGGTAGGCTCTCCACGCACGATACCAGATAGAGCAAATACAATGTACACTGTGTAGCATATTACAATGTAAACAACTGATTGTGCTGTACAGACTTACAGTACAGTACAGTACAGTACAGTACAGTACAGTACAGTACAGTACAGTACAGTACAGTACAGTACAGTACAGTACAGTACAGTACAGTACAGTACAGTACAGTACAGTACAGTACAGTACAGTGCAGTGACAGTACAGTACAGTACAGTACAGTACAGTACAGTACAGTACAGTACAGTACAGTACAGTACAGTACAGTACAGTACAGTACAGTACAGTGCAGTGCAGTACAGTACAGTACAGTACAGTACAGTGCAGTGCAGTACATTGCAGTATAGTGCAGGAAAGTCCAGTGCAGTACATTTCAGTACAGTGCAGGAAAGTACGGTACAGTACAGTACAGTACAGTACAGTACAGTACATTACAGTAAAGTACAGTACAGTACAGTGCAATACAGTACAGTGAAGTACAGTACAGTGCAGTACAGTGCATTACAGTAAAGTACAGTACAGTGCAGTACAGTGCAGGACAGTACAGTGCAGTGCAGTACAGTACAGTACAGTACAATATAGTACAGTACAGATCATTACATTGCAGTACAGTATAGTACAGTACAGTACAGTACAATACAGCACTAAACAGTGCAGTACGGTTCAGTACCGTCCTACAATTTGAATTGTAGCTCAACTTGTTAAGCCTGTTTATTCTATTTTTAAGATCAATAAATACATTTAAATTAAAACTGCGAATAGTTTTACTAGGCGGCTGGGCTATGCCCTTTTATGAACAATTCAAAATTATTTCGCCTTGGACGTTTTTTTCAAGTTTGTTTTATCTAAAGAGGCATCACAATAATATGAAAATTTTAATGTAAAATACATAGTTTTTTACACTAACAGGGGTCAGGGATATCTTCCAAGACCGTATAGCAAACAATTTTTATACACAGGGTCATCCACAAAGAATGAGACTTCAGAGACGACTGTACGAACTGTATGCGCTCTGTTTCCTTATACTTATTGTTCTCTTCAACTGAAAACTTATTTCGTTCTTTGTCAAATCAATAAATAAGCCAAAAACGACTACAGGGAGTCCCACATCATATTAGACCGAGAACGGGTCTAAATTGCGATTTTCGGGACTAATCAAAAAATTTAATTAGAATGAATCATTTTGAAAAATAACATAAGGCTTATATAAGAATTTTCTTACGTAAAAGATAAGTTTTTCGAGTATTAAGGATTTATTTTGTCGTTAAAGATTGGAGATAATCTAATAGGATATGCGACGCTCTGTATATTTAAGGCAGAAGACTTAGTTAAACCTCGGAATCAACATATTTAAAAGGTTTCAGGTCGTCTTTACAGTCTCATCCTTTACCCTGTATTTAAAAAATATATGTGTGTTAGGTGGGAAAATATTGGAAGAAAATGAAATAAATTCAAAGAAAAATTTTTAGTGAATAGAAAAAAATCTGCGAAACTATAAAAAATTGTTCTAAAATCATTTAAAAATATTTATTATTATAAATTCCTGATTGTCACAAAAATCTAATGATATATAATAAGGATACCGAAATAGTACAAGTACAAATCTGTTCCAAATACTACTGAGAACGCAAAAATTAACTTTCATTTCAAACCATTTTGGAATTGAAAAGCACAGCAAATTCCTCTCTTGGGGAGATTTCAAATTAGTGTAAATATCTAATTAACCGTCTAAAACATTAATATTGTTCAATTTTAGTTTTACAAAAAAATGTTGACGGATTTATTTCTATGGCCATGATTGGTTTTTGATATATGGTATGGTTTTCTCTGCGGATGCTTTAGATGTGCCGGTGCGTCAGTAAATAGATTTATTGAAAGACCTTTGCTTGGCAAAATTGAGAAAAAAAAATTGGGTTTTCAAGATATCTAACTTATCATCATATCTTTATTCCTTCAAAAGTTTTAACTCTTCCTTTTTACAGTCGTCAATGCAATGAAGACGACGTTCGTGAAATTTTCGATTAATATTAAGCTTTTAAACAACATGAATACACACACATGGACACAAAAAGAAGCTGTCGAATAAAAAAGCTTCTCTTTGATTACTTGTAATTCGAAAAAAGCTATTTAAGCAATCAAAGCTTAAATATAAAAGTCGTCTTTTTTATATTTCCACCAAAGAAACAGACAGTTTCATCCGTAGAGTCATCTCTGAAGTCTCATCCTTTCTTGGTAACCCTGTACATCAAGTTTTGATTAATAAATGGAGACCACTGGAGAGTACCGGAGGGTTCTAAATCCAGTGGAGAGAAAATTATTTCTACTGGAGAGCTTTTAAATTTTTACCAAAATATAAATTCTACCGCAGGGTTTTTTTTTTCCATTGGAGTAAATTGCATTTCAAAATGGGGAGGATTTGAGTTCTTACAAAGAGCAAAATTCTACTGGAGGGTTTTTTAATTCACTGGAGTAATTTGATTTTAATGTTCAAATATTTAACTGATGTTAGAAATTGTCGTCTTCAGAATTATCAAACTTTTTATCCCTCATAAAATACATTTTCTGAAAAGAAAAATATTTCCTAATCTTTAATCTTAAACAAGTGCAAGATAAAATAACATAAAGTTTAACCCAGAATTTTGGAGACAGCTAAAGAATTTATAAAATTTCGTTTTCCAAACCTGCTAACAGTGGTTTTCCAAACCTGCTAACAGTGAATGCTGCAGATATAGTTAGTTTTTCAATTGAATAATTATACGAAGATCTTTAAAACGGAGATATAGTTAGTTTTTTAATTGAATAATTATACGAAGCTCTTTAAAACTGAGATATAGTTAGTTTTTTAATTGAATAATTATACGAAGCTCTTTAAAACTGAGATATAGTTGTTTTTTAATTGAATAATTATACGAAGCTCTTTAAAACTGAGATATAGTTAGTTTTTTAATTGAATAATTATACGAAGCTCTTTAAAACTGTCTCAGTATATATCATGACTATTTATTTATTTTTACAATTACTGAGATTTAGGTATAAAAGTATAAAACAAATCGAAAAATTGTCAAGACGACATTTTATAAATTCTTTCGATGTCTTCAAAGTTCTGGGTTATGCTGTATAAGACATAATAAACCTAAGGAAAAATAACATTAAATAAAAGCCTTAAATGGAAAACTGAGTCACTGACATAAGTTAGAATTACATCAAATATAGAAGGGACAAAGAGAGGGTTAAAGTAAGCTATTAAAAATAGAATTCAAAGAAAAGACAGTTTCTTTTTTTTACACCAAAACTTTAATTTTAAGTCAGAAGCAGACCCATTTAGCTGACTAAGTGATTTAATGAGTTACTAATTAAATTTTCTTTTGCTAACGACATCAAATACACTATAATGTTGTCTTTCTGTATCATAGTTTTCTAGCTCTCAAATTAGCAAAATATCTAATTTTGATTAAACCAACTTGACAATTTTAACCAAAAAAAAAATTTGCAATTTCATCTGCAATGTGAACAAATGAAAAATGTATCATATTAAATTGTTAATTAGTAAATGTATCATACTAAATTGTTATTAGTAAATGTATCATATCAAATTGTTAATTAGTAAATGTATCATAATAAATTGTTATTAGTAAATGTATCATATCAAATTGTTAATTTGTAAATGTATCATAGTAAATTGTTATTAGTAAATGTATCATATTAAACTTCTAATTAGTAAACGTATTATATTTAATTGTTAATTAGTAAATGTACCATATTAAATTGTTAATTAGTAAATGTATCATGAATTGTTAATTAGTAGATTAACCACGAGAAACTTTAATTTGATAAATGTTGAAACAATTAAGTAAATATCCCTTAGCCTCGATTATTTAAAAATTTACAGAGATGTTTTCATTCTTGTATCTGCTGAATATATATTTGTAAGTCACAGTTAAAATTATTGATTTTTAGATGAAAAGCGATTCCGCGCAATTCTGTGAAAATTTGATTGCCTTCTTGTTCGCAATAATAGCGCAATTCCGCACAATGAAATGGCGCAAGGGGAAGCAATCAATGCTACAATTGATACAATGTTTGTAAATGAAAAGATTATCAGAATATATTAATTTTGTCCAAGAAGGAGTATTGAGACAAAAACCAGTCACCCCCCCCCATGAGTCATGACTCCTTAAAATACCTCATATAGTGTTTCTTTTTATATGTTTTGCTTTTTTGACATAAACTTGGATTTAGTAAAAGATAGATTGAAGGTTGGACAATATATTTTATATATTTTATATATTATACACAATTTATTCATAGGATATAGGATAAATATATATTGGAGAGAACAAGATATATTCTTGGAGTTTTAAGTTCATCTATGTATATAAATAATTTTCTTGTCTGTTTGTTTGTATCAACTATAGACGCCCAAACGGCTGAACAGATCGGGATCAAATTTTATTTGGGATCTAACATGACCCCAGGGTAGGTTTATGGGTGATCAAAATTTCAAAGAGATATTTCCAAAAATGCGTAATTTTTGTAAAATTTTGAAAATCTGGTTTTTAGAGCAATTAAGTAAATATAAATTTAATCATGTTAAAATGAAATTATTAAATATTTGAGGACTAAAGTCCTTTTGAATGTTAGTCTTAATAAACATTAATCCAAAACTTACGTGCGTTCAATCGATCATTAGTTCAATTGATATGACATCACAAATACGGGAAAATCAAAAACCAGTTTTTCAAAAGTTAAAGAGCGCATCTTTAATCTCTAAAAATTAATCTAAAGACTGAATGAGTTTTGAGATTAACAAAAAGAGAGGAATGAGCATTGATTTCGATATTGACCATTCTAAAGTTTCAGCTCAGCTCAGGTTATTTTGTATACAGAGTTATTCAAGGAAAATAAAATTCAGGAAATTCAGTTTGTACTTTTTCACATTTTG